CAGAAGGGAACATTGTAAAACTCAGCTTCGAGCTATTCGATATGGAGTCTGTGGCTGCAGGTTTTCCTTTATGGCGTTGCTATGGTGATTATGTAGAGGTACTAGACGTGTACGGAAGTGACAGAAAGTTCTGTGGTGAGTCAAATCCAGGGATAATCCGCTCGAGAAGTCGGTACATGTGGGTGCGATTCAGATCAGATTCCTCCTCCTCCTCGCATCGATGTCATAAAGGGTTTAAGGCTAATTTCACTGCAGAGAATAAACTCAGTAAGTCAATTAGTGTGCCACTATGGAAATTAAGCCATTGTGGATGAAGGAGGCCCTTTTTTTTTTGTTTAGTCAACATAAGTTATCTCCTCTCTTGAGTCAAGAACTTTTCTTCTTCAAAGCACTTTATTTTTTTCTTAAACGAGGTCCATTTCTTGAGAGAAAGTTCCTTGCATTTGCCCTATTTTCATGCTGATGGTAGGGTGGTTTTCTCCTCTCTCTAGAGAGATTTCACCACCTCAGCAGAAGTCATCATCAGAGCCAAGTAAAGAATTATTGTCTGTTGTATTTCATGAGTCTGGTTCTTGTGTTATGATCGGTCAATTTTGCCGTGATCTTATTGGCTGTGAGACTCAAATGACGTAAGGTTGATGTGATTGGTCAGTTTGTTCTGTTGGTAATATTTGGTCGCTCTATTAATTTTATTTGTGGTGTAGTCATTGAAATTTGGCATGGGATTCTGTTCCAACGGAGTGAACCAGCTTTCCAGAAACTTTCATCTATAGGGTTACAGCATTGCACTCTGAAACGTTAGTCAGTACTATGAACAATGGTCTTTCTCAGGACTTCTCTCACATTGTTACTCCTGGGTGCAAACCATTCGTTGTATTTGTACTTTTTAGTTTGTCCTCGCTACGGTGAAGCACTTGCTGCTTCTATATCAGATAAGAAGACACTGACGAGTCCAGGCTATCCTCTCTTGCCTCCTGCCAGTTTGTTTTCATGGTGGTGCAGATGGATACTCAAAGTACCGGATGACCTTTCCACTGGTGGAGCATATGTATTGAAAGTTACATTTAATCACTTCAATCTGCAAAAAAGTTATGATAGACTCACTTTTTATGATGGTATCGATTCATCATACAAGCGTCTTGGAAAATCATATACCGGAACGGTCCATCCTGATGTGATTTATTCCACAGG